CCTCCAGGCTCCCCCCTCCCTCCTTCCTTCTCGCCGCCGGCGCCGGCGCCCGCGGCCGGCTTGGCCCCGGGGTTGCTGGTGGCGGCGGCCTCCTGGCCCTTCCCCTCCCGGTCGCTCTCCGGCGCGGGCGGAGCTGTGCCGGGGGATGCATCTAGGCGGTGGCGGTGCGGCGGGGCTCCGCGGCGCATGCAGCGAGCTACTGGGCGGCGGGGCGGCGCAGCGGCGGGATCTGGCGTCGTCCGCTCGGCCCAGATCTGGGCCCTTCGGGTCCCATCTAGGCCTGGGCGGGCCGGCGGCGGGGATGGCTCCGGTGTGGCTTCTGGGAGGCGGGGGAGATGCGACGAGTGGCTGGGTGTCGGCGGCGACGACGCCGGCCTGCTGCATCGCGGCTGGCGGGGCTTAACGGGCCCGCTTCGGGCCTGGCTAGGCCGGGGTGGCTCGGCATGCCCCGCTGCCGTGTCAGGACGGCTACCGCGACGATGCCGAAGGCATGGGCCTCCCGCACGATGGCGGTGGAGGTGGTTTCGGCGTCGATGCTGCTACTCCCGTCGTGGTGAGCTTCTCTCCGGTCCTCTTGGCCTCGTGGTGGTGTTCATAGTGAGGCGGCGTGGGTGGCGGCGCTACTGCGTTGGCGCATGGTGATGGCGACGGTTTGGCGGGTCGGTTCCGTCTGGTTGGGCAGTTGGGGGTTGGAATGCGGGAGAAATCCCTGCCGGTTTCGGCCCCGACGCGGTGACACCTGCGGGTGCCACCATTCCTTCCTGATGGGTGTCGGTGGTATCCACCCCCCACCTCCCTCCGCGTGCCCGGTGAAACCTGAGGACTCGTTCTGGCAGCAGCGTCGTCGGCGTCGCATTCCTTCTTGGAGGTGCTGCTTGGTACGCGGCGGATCGGAGCCTTGGTCTGTGGTAATTTGTCTCCTGTGGGCGCCGCGGTGGCGGGTCATCTGCGCTTTGCCGAGCTGCCGTGGTTGGCATTTGTTTCTTCTTCTTTTTTTCTTGGTGTGTTGTGTTGCTCGCCACAGCGTTATCTGTACTCGGTGTTGGTTGCTTTGGAATAGAAAGCGGGGAAACCCTTTTTCGGTATGGATGCCCAGAATGATGGCAACGATGTGTGGTCTGTTTGTGATGTTACTGTTGGCGCATAGCTTTAAGGGATCGTCTGCATGAGCTAGTCAAAAATAATTTAGCTATCCTGGATAAGCACCTAGCTAGCTTCACCAATCTCGATTGTCGGCAGGACTGATAGTCTATTGAAGTAGGTAGGATTGGACTGGCTTGCTTGAGGTTCCACTTTGCACCCGTCGATGCCCTGTTGAAAAACTAAATTAGCAACTGTCATACCTGAGCTGGGTTCTTTGGTCAACATTACCTATACAAAATGGAGTCCATATCTAAATGATGAATAAAGAAGTCTTTAGCTCCATTCCTTTGGTCATCCCTAGTTATTTTGGTGTACTATTTAATGTGGCAGGCCCAAGTAACATGTTTGTGTAGCATTACTGATCTAACTTGATTGCTCATCAACTCCTCTTTTGTGGAGCACATGGTGACATTGCTAGACTGTTTGTGTCCTTGGAGTGTTGCTGCACCCTTTCTACTCTTTTGCAGTTCACTACAGATGTCCAATTTTGCGTGCTGCCACTACCGGACTCGCGGTCTATGCCTACGGCCGAGGGCCGTCGGCGTAGGCCCCCAAGCCGTCGGCATAGGTCTATGCCTACGGCTGCCGTCGGCATAGACTCATCGGCGTAGATGCCGTCAGCGTAGTCTTGTCAGACCGTCGGCATAGTAAAGCCGTCGGCATAGGGGCCTATGCCGACGGCCTAGCGTCAGCCGTCGGCATAGTATAGCCGTCGGCAGTCTTTTTCGTCTGACGGCAACGGACGGCGCCGTCAAAAACGCGGACGAATCATGCAATGCCACGTGGCAGGGCTATGCCTACGGCAAAGCCGTCGGCATAGATTCATCTATGCCGACGGCTTTGCCGTAGGCATAGCCCTGCCACGTGTCGTCTTCTGGTTACTCCTGGCAGCAGAGGTATGCCTACGGCAAAGCCGTCGGCATAGATCCGCCACGTGGCGAGCCCTGGTGACTCCTGGGCTTATATATGCCGACGGCTTTGCCGTAGGCATAGTTTTTTTTCCCTGTTTTCTCTTTTCCAATTCATTTGATAGCATTTCAAAACAGAACAATATGAAATTATGCAGAAATATGACAATTCATCATCTAAACATACTCAAGTTCACCATCATCATCTAAACATACTCAAGTTCATCACATCATCTAAAGATCATCACCGACTCAAGTTCATGAACATAAAAGTAGTGCAAGACATGAAACATCATAAAAGTAGGAATATGAAAGGCATGGCACGATGGCCACATGCACGGAATCATCAAGCAAGACCACCTCCGCCAAAACCACCACCTCCGCCAAAACCACCACCTCTGCCAAAACCAACACCACCTCCGCCAAAACTGCCATCGCAACCACCACCACTCTGCCAGATCGGAGTGACTGGGGTCGACGGAGCAGGAGTCGAGCCACCGGTCCCCTACATGTTTCAGAAAAGATTCTAACAGTAAATATGATATGATAGCGTTGAATGAACGAGAACTAGTTTGTCAGTAGTTAGGCAAATGTACTAACCGGACCATCACTACCTAGTGCCACCCATTCATCGAACGTGGGCACGTGTGGGGGTTCTCCCGCAGGTGGTGGTGGGGGTCCCATTTGTGGTGGACCCGTGCCGTTACTCCAAGCCGCCAACATAGCATGAATGTTAGTTAAACAAGCAAACTAGAAGATCAGAAGGAATGAAAGTGCAAAAATTTAGCTTGGTTTTAAGAGGGGAGAACTAACCGTCATCATCTGACGGTTGTAATCATCGTTTGCCTTCACTCGTTTCAAGTACTCCCGCACCTCGAGATTCCTATGCTCGACAAACTCCTTATATGCCTACATAATTGAGATTGTTTCTAAGTGAGCAATGCTAAAAATAAACTGAGAATGCTAGATAGAAAAAGATAAATAGGAAGTACTTACAGCATGCTGGTGGGCTAAAGGAGTCTGTGAACGCCCCGTACTCTCTAACTGGCTCGGGTTGCTAGCCCGAAGCTGTGTGTACGAGATCGAAGGAGTGATCAAGCCGTCGAAACACGGATACCGGCCATTCTTCTTCCCCTGGATGGCCACCACCGCC